GTCTCGTCCCGCGTCGCCTGTTCGTCCTGCTCGCGCTAGTGGTCGCGGTTCGCGTCAGCGTCCTCCTCCTGTCCCTGGCACGCACCGGATGTCTCTGCGTCCGTCCACTACTTCTCTGCGTGCCCCTTTGCCTTCTCCTCCTGAGTCCTCTCTTCCTGCACTTGCCGACCCGGAGTCGGACTCTCTTCGTGCTGCCAGTCCTACTGTCACGCATCTCCTTGCTACTGTCGTCACTGACCCCTCTTTTGAGTCCACTACTGCGTCTGCGCTTGTCTCTGAGCTCATCGACTTTGTTGCTCGCTGTCGTCTCGACTACGCTTCCAGTCTTGTTGCTGAGTCTACGTCTGTCTGTCCTCCGTCCGTCGGGGGTGAGTGTGCTCTTGGCACGGACGTCCTTGAGGACAGGCAGGAGGAGTTCCAATGTCTGGCTGCTGCTTCACCTCATCTCGCGTCCGTACTACTTGCCCTTGAGGGAGACCCGGATGCACTAGACATCCCGACTTCGCGCTCTTACGCGGAGGCCGTAGAGGGTCCCTACTCCTCTCAGTGGCAGACAACTATGGATGCAAAGGTGGCTTCCTGGAAGTCCACAGGCACCTACATTGACGCGGTTCCCCAAGCTAGGGCGAACATCGTCAGTGGCATGTGGATCTTCAGGGTGAAGCGGCTGCCGGGCTCTCCACCTGTCTTCAAGGCGCGGTACATCGCTCGTGGCTTCAGTCAGCGGCAGGGAGTTGACTACTTTCAGACCTTCTCTCCCACCCCGAAGATGACCACTCTTCGGGTGCTGCTGCACATAGCGGCTCAGCGCGACTACGAGCTTCACTCTCTTGACTTCAGCACTGCTTTCTTGCAGGGTAGCCTGCACGAGGAGATGTGGCTGCGCCGTCCACCTGGCTTCACTGGGACTTTCCCTCCTGGCACCCACTGGAGCATCCGACGGCCAGTCTACAATCTCCGCCATGCATCGCGTGAGTGGCACGACACATTGAGGACTACGCTTGCGGCTCTTGGGTTTGCTCCCTCTACTGCTGACCCGTCGTTGTTTCTGCGCACGGACACTCCTTTGCCGCCGTTCTACATCCTCGTGTACGTGGACAACTTGGTCTTTGCCACAGCTAACACTGCTGGACTTGCCTACGTGAAGTCCGAGCTGCAGAAGAGACACACGTGCACAGACCTGGGTGAACTGCGCAGCTACCTTGGCTTGCAGATCACTCGGGACAGAGCACGCCGCACCATTACCTTGACTCAGTCACACATGGTGGAGCAGGTCCTTCAGCGCTTCGGCTTCACGTACTCCTCGCCTCAGGCCACTCCTCTGTCTACTCGCCACTCGCTCTCAGCTCTGCCTTCGGATGAGTCCGTAAAGTCGAGTGGCCCGTACCTAGAGCTTGTTGGCTGCCTCATGTACCTGATTACCTGCACACGACCTGACCTTGCATACCCTCTGAGCATTCTTGCACGCTATGTTGCTCCTGGTAGACACCAACCAGAGCACATGGCTGCAACAAAGAGGGTGTTGCGCCACTTGTGCAGTACGTCGGGCATGGGGCTAGTACTTGGAGGGCGGAGTCCAGTGGTCCTCAGTGGGCACACGGACTCTTCTTGTGCTGACGACCAGGCTACTCAGCGGTCGTCACAGGGTTACACCTTCAGTCTTGGCTCCGGCTCTGTTTCGTGGCGGGCTACTCGCTCGTCTTCTGTTCTCGGCTCCAGTTGTGAGGCTGAGATCTACGCCGAGGCCATGGCTGCCCAGGAGCTTCGCTGGCTCACCTACCTGCTGACTGACCTTGGAGAGCCGCCTTGTTCTCCTCGAGTACTATACGTAGACAACAAGGCCATGCTGGCCTTGTGTTGAGAGCAGCACTTGGAGCACAGAACGAAGCACATTGCTCTCCGTTACTTTCTTGCTCGTGAGCTGCAGCAGCGTGGTCAGTTGCGACTTGCGTACGTGGCCTCTGAGGCCAACACTACTGATGTTTTCACCAAGGCACTTCCGCCTTGTGATCATTAGCGCTTCTGCACTCAGCTTGGACTTGTCCCAGTCTTGCCTCACTTGCTCACCTCTTGACCTTGCTTGTACTCTTGCACATGTATATATATATATTTATATATGTATATACCTGCTCTTGCTTGTTTAGCCTTATATATATATGTCTGATCCTGCATGTGAACTGGCCTCGTGGCCTTGACCTTGTGCTTGGACTATGTGGTGACTTTGTGATCCACCCTCAGCTTGCTTTGCTTTGCTTTGCTTGACTGGTCTTGTAACCCCTTGTTCTCCCCCACTTTGCCTATGGGGGTGTGTTAGATATATATGACATAGCTATTGTAGGCTATATTGGGGTAGCACATATGGGGTACAGCTTTCTAGGGTTTGCATTTGTACCAAACTTTCACTTAGTGATTCCATTCTCGTTCTCATCTTCACAATCCGGTGCGTGCCAGGGACAGGAGGAGGACGCTGGCGCGAACCATGACCACTAGCGCGAGCAGTACGAACAGGGGACGCGGGACAGGACGCAGGCTCACGACGCTCAGCAAGACCTCCAGTAGGACCAGTGTAAGGAGAGGGAGCGGGAAGTGGGGAGGCGGGCTCTAACTGTGAATAGGACTGGACAAGCGGTGGACACTCTACAGGAGGAGAAACACCAAGAACCTGCTGCTAGAGCGGAACGAAGTATGGCTGAGGCTGCGCGGCAGCTCGAGACAAAGTAGGGACAGCACCAGCACTCTCAGCGGCATCACCAGCGCCAACAACACCTCCAGCTGTAGGACCTCCAGCAGCACCAGCAGCACCCGCAGCAGGACCACCGCCAGGAAGGACAGCAGTAGTCTCAGCACCAACACCCTCAGCAGCTCCAGCTCCAGGCGGACCCGAAGGCCCAGCAGCTCCGGGACCGGCGGCACAAGCACCCTCAGCGGCCGAAGAAGCTCCAGCTTCAGTAGTACGCCTCCAGCGGCGAGCAAACCAGTCGCGCAGCTCCTGTAGAGAGAGTGGCTCCCGCTGAGATGAAGCACCCGCAGAACCTCCAGGCAGAGCACCGCGAGACGCCACAAGGGGAGGTACAGTGGCTGCAGGCTCTGCACCTCCAGGCTCAGCAGCTCTAGACGCAACACCCCCTGGCTTAGTAGCTCCTAACGTAGCACCCCCAGTCGCAGCACCCCCAGGCTCAGCACCCCCAGACTCAGCACCCCCAGGCTCAGCACCCCCAGTCGCAGTACCCCCAGGCTCAGCACCCCCAGGCTCAGCACCCACGCGCGCAACACCCCCAGGCTCAGCACCCACGCGCGCAGCACCCCCAGAGTAAGCACCCCCAGGCTCAGCTGCCGCAGCAGTACCAGAGTCACCAGCAACCTCAACCGGCTCGAGTGCGTCTACCTGGGACACACATCAAGGGGCAGGACCCTGAGGGGGAAGGGGGTCTACCGGGGGGGGACCTGGCACAAGGAAGTGCGGTGGCGGGGGGAGGTAAGGAGTGCGGTATGGGAAGAGGCAGTAGAAGGGGACTGACTCGTCGAACGTGACGTCTTGGGAGGACAGAACACGACGAGAGGAGGGGTGGTAGAACTGCCACCCTGGGGCGTCAGAAGGGAAGCCTCGGAAGACACAGGGAGCAGCACGAGGGGACAGCTTGTGCGCAGACAAGTCGCGGACAAACGCCCGAGATCCCCAGACACGGAACGCAGACGCATCGCTGATCTTCCCCGTCCACAGGAGAGCTGGGGAGGTCTCCGGCCGGGAGAACCTAGGGTGAAGGTTGATCTGATGCGCCGTGTACCGAACCGCAAACGGCCACAGAAAATGGGGGGCAGCTGCATGCATCATGGACGTACGAGCGACGTCCATGACCATGCCAATGCGGCGCTCAGCAATCCCATTTTGCTGTGGAGAGTCCGGAAGCGTAAATGTCTGGCGGATGCCTCGTGCACGACAGTAGGCTTGCAGAAGGCCAGAGGAGAACTCTCCACCCCAGTTAGAGTGTAGACGCAGAACAGGAAAGTCCGAGCCGAAGCTCCTCTTGAGCTGGAGACGAGCTGCGCGGATCTAGTCGATCAACACCTCAGTGACATCACCCTTGCTGTGCAAGGGGAAGACTGTGGTGTAACGCGAGTAGTCGTCAACCACCAGCAGGAAGTAGCGCTCGTGACCCTCTCCACGGACGCGGGCCGGGCCCCACACGTCCATGTGAAGTGTCTGCAGAGGAGCCTCTGTCGGGGGAAACTGAAGGAGTGAGGGTTAGCCCGGAGCCGCCCCTCGACACAGGGGACACAGGAAGGTCCTGGCCCCGAAGGAAGGGGAGGGAGAGACCGGGGGAGACCAGAGACAAGGACAGGGGAAGCCATGCCCCGCAGACGAGGCAGGGAGGGGTGGCCAAGACGGTGGTGCCACAGAAGAGTCTCGTGAGACAAGAGGCGACATGAGCAGGGGGCAGACTCAGGATCAGACCTGGACGGAGCAGCAAACACCTGACCCGATGCAGCTACCTGGCCAGACGCAGGGACAGGAGGAGACTGAGTGGTCAGGGTGTAGGGACTCGGCCCCGGCCGACGCGAAAACGTGGCCAGGTGTCGGCCTGTGCGGGCGTCCGAGCAGTGGGCCACCTGCTAACTTGTAGGAGTAAACTGGTGAACCCCCGCATCCTGCAGGTCAGCACCACTTACCAAGTTCTTCGAGAACGAGGGGAGGTACAGACCAGACAAGGTGCCCGAGGGGCTGGGTAGATGATATGTAGCTTTTCCTACAGTGCGATAGGGCAGACGGTCTCTCCCTGTTTGACCTCACTTCTGGTGCCTCTCCTACCCCTGCTGCTGAGGCTGACGCCACTATTTGCTCCCAGTGGGCCACGCCTGATGCTGCTGCTCGCCTCGCTGTGTGCCGCCACTTAGCAACCACTGAGCGTGCACACTTTAGCCAGTACAAGAGTGCTGAGACCTTGTAGGACGCTGTAGTTGCATGCTACTCTTCCCCTGCCACTGCTGCACTAAGCCGCCACATGCTACCGTACCTCTTCTCTGACCTTGCTGCCTTTCCCACAGTTGGTGACCTCTTTACGCACCTCCGCACTAGTGACACTCGTGACCGTGCTGCGCTTCCTCCTGAGTTCTGCGCCAAGAACCGCCCCCCCCCCCCCCCCCCCCCCCCCATGTACATCACCCTCTACTACATAGTCACCCGGCTCCCTGACTCTCTCCGCGTAGTCAAGGACCACTTCCTCTCAGTTTGCCCCACCACTCTCACCGTTGACCTCCTCGAGAAGGCCCTCCTAGCGATAGAGAAAAGCATAGTCGCTGTAGGAGCCTCTCGTGGTGACCCTCGCACCCCCGTCTTTGAGGAGTGTTCTCCCTCCCCCCTCTTGCCCTGTGTTGCCTCTGCTGCTGCGTTCGACCTTGTTGGCTTCGAGTCGGTCCGCGCTGCGTCTGCCTCGAGCGGGAGACGCCACACCAGCAAGGGCAAGGGGGTAAAGGGCGCTGGAGGGGCTGGCGGGGGCGATGGAGGTGGTGGTGGAGGCAGTGGAGAGAGTGGGGGTGCTGGTGGGAGTGGTGCCGCGGGTGGCGGCGGCGGTGGCAGCAGTGGAGGCGGCGGAGGCGGTGGTGGTGGCGGAGGGAGCGGAGGCGGCGGAGGTGGCGGAGGAGGCGGAGGTGGCGGAGGAGGCGGAGGTGGAGGAGGCGGCGGCGACGGCGGCGATAGTGGAGCGGGTCGCGAGTCTGTGCAGAACAGTGGCTCCGGTGGTGGTCCACGCTAGTAGAAGCGGAGTGGTGTGACCGTGTCCCCTTAGCAGCTTCGTAAGTGGTACATTGCGCGTCAGTGCGGTGGGGGTTTTAGTCCCTGCACTTACGTCCTCCGTACCGGCGACTGAGCTGGTGAGCAGTGCGGTGGCCCGCACTCCAACCAGCGCTGCTTCGGTCACCTGACGAACGCGTGGCGTCGCAAGTTCTCTGAGGCGTCAGAGATCCCTCGCTGGGGAGATCTGTCTAGGGCGGGTCAGGTGTTTGCTGCAGCGTCCAGGTCTGGTCCTGAGTCTGCTCCCTGTCCCTGTCGTCTGCTGTCCCACCAGACTCTCCTTTGGCACCACTGCCTTGGTCACCCCTCCTTGCCTCGTCTCCGAGGCATGGCCTCCCATGTTCTTGTCTTTGGTCTCCCTCGGTCTCTCCCTCCCCTCTCTCCGGGGCCTGGCCCTACCTGCGTCCCTTGCGTCGAGGGGCGACAGCGCGTCGCCCCTCACTCCTCCGAGTTTCCTCCGACAGAGGCTCCGCTGTAGACTCTCCACATGGACGTGTGGGGCCCAGCCTGCGTTAGTGGGCAGGGGCGCGAGCTGTACTTCCTGCTGGTGGTTGACGACTACTCGCGTTACACCACAGTCTTCCTCTTGTGCAGCAAGGGTGACGTCACTAAGGTGTTGATCGACTAGATCCACGCAGCTCGTCTCCAGCTCAGAGAGAGTTTCGGCTCGGACTTTCCTGTTCTGCGTCTACACTCGGACAGAAGCGGGGAGTTTTCCTCTGCCCGTCTGGGAGCCTTCTGTCGTGCACAGGGCATCCGCGAGACCTTCACGCTTCCGGCCTCTCCACAGCAAAATGGGATTGTTGAGCGCCGCATTCGCATGGTCATGGACGTCGCTCGTATGTCCATGATGCATGCGGCTGCCCCCCATTTTCTGTGGCCATTTGTGGTTCAGTACGCGGCGCATCAGCTCAACCTTCATCCCCGGGTCTCCTTGCCAGAGACCTCCCCCGCCTTGCGGTGGACCGAGAAGGTTGGCGATGCGTGTGCGTTTTGGGTCTGGGGATCTCGGGCGTTTGTCCGCGACTTGTCTGCGGACAAGCTGTCCCCCCGTGTTGTTCCCTGTGTCTTCCTTGGCTTCCCCCCTGATGCGCCTCGGCAGTAGTTTTGCCACCCCACCTCACGTCGTGTTCTGTCCTCCAAGGACGTCACCTTTGACGAGTTGGTGCCTTACTACCGTCTCTTCCCCTACCGCACTCCGCCTCTCCCCCCACCGCTGCTCTTCCTTGCACTAGGTCCTCCCCCGGTAGACCCCCTCCCCCCTTAGGGTCCTGCCCCGTCAGGTGTGTCCCAGGTAGACGGAGTCAAGCTTGTGGAGGTAGTTGTTGACTCCTGGTGCTTCTAGACGTGCTGAGCCTGCGGGTGCCGGGTCTGGGGGTGCTAAGACTGGGGGTGCTGAGACTGGGGGTGCTGAGTGTGGGGGTGCTGAGCCTGGGGGTGCTGGGTCTGGGGGTGCGGAGCCTAGAGGTGCGGAGCTTGGGAGTGCCGAGCCTGGGGGCGCTAGGTCTGCTCGTGTGGCCGCTAGCGGTACTTCGTCGAGGCGGGAGCCGCTCTCTCCACAGGAGCTGCACAAATGGTTTGCCCGCCGCTGGAGACGTGCTGCTGAGACTGGGGGTGCTGCTGGGGCTACTGGAGTTGGTCCTGCTGGAGTTGCTGGCGGTACTGGTGCTACTGGAGCTGGAGCTGCTAGGGGTGTTGGCGCTGGTGTTTCTACTAGCGCTGGTGCGTGTGGGGGTGCTGCTGAGGCTGCTGGAGCTGACGGTCCTACTGGAGTAGGTGCTTCTGGAGCTGGAGTTGCTGGGGGTGTTGGCGCTGGTGGTGCTGCTGGCGCTGGTGCTTCTGAGGGTGCTGGAGTTGGGGCTGCTAGAGCTGGAGGTACTGCTGGCGTTGGTGTTGCCGCTGGGGGTACTGGTGCCGTCCTTGCTGGTTTTGGAGGCGCTGAGCGGCCAAGGCTGTACTTCGTTCCGCTCCTGGAGCAGGTTCTTGGTCTCCCGCCCTCTCCTGGTCCTGCTCCTTCCTTAGAGTGTCCACAGCCTGTCGAGTCGCAGTCATTGTTACAGCCCGCCTCCCCTCTACCTGCTCCTTCTCCCTACACTGGTCCTACTAGAGGTCTTGCTGAGCGTCGTGAGCCTGCGTCTCGTCCCGCGTCGCCTGTTCGTACTGCTCGCACTACTTGTCGTGCTGCGCGTCCGCGTCCTCCTGCAGTCCCCGGCACACACTAGATGGCACTGTGTCCTTCCACGGCCCCTCAGCGTGTCCCGTTGCCGTCTCCTCCTGTGTCCTCTCTTCCTTCTCTTGCTGACCCGGAGTCTGACTCTCTTCGTGCTGCTAGTCCTTTGGTCACGCGCCTTATTGCTACTATTATCACTGACCCTTCCTTTGAGTCCACTTCTGCGTCTGCCCTAGTTGCTGAGGTTATCGACTTCGCTGCTCGCTGTCGTCTAGACTACGCTACTAGTCTCATTGCTGAGTCTGAGTCTGTTTGTCCTCTGTCCGTCGGGGGTGAGTGTGCTCTTAGCACGGACGTCGTTGAGGACAGTCAGGAGGAGTTCCAGTGCTTTGCTGATGCTTTGCCCCATCTCGTGTCCACGCTGATTGCCCCTGAGGGAGACCCGGATGCACTAGACATCCTAACTCCTCGATCGTACGGTGAGGCGATCGAGGGTCTCTACTCCTCTCAGTGGCAGTCAGCCATGGACGCAGAGATGGCTTCCTGGAAGTCCACAGGCACCTACGTCGACGAGGTTCCCCCACCTGGGGCGAACATCGTCAGTGGCATGTGGATTTTCAGGGTGAAGCGGTCACCGGGTTCTCCGCCTGTCTTCAAGGCGCGTTACGTGGCTCAAGGCTTCAGTCAGTGGCAGGGAGTTGACTACTTTTAGACCTTCTCTCCCACCCCAAAGATGACCACTCTTCGGGTGCTGCTGCACATAGCCGCTCGGCGTGACTATGAGCTTCACTCTCTTGACTTCAGCACGGCTTGACTACAGGGCAGCCTGCACGAGGAGATCTGGCTGCGCCGCCCACCTGGCATCATTGGTTCGTTTCCTCCTGGTACCCAGTGGAGCCTCCGGCGGCCAATCTACGGTCTCCGCCAGGCGCCCCGTGAGTTGCAAACCCAAGAACTACATGTGCAGCTCTTGGGTTTGCTCCTTCTACAGCCGACCCGTCGCTATTTTTGCGCACCAACACCTCTCTGGTGCCGCTCTACATCCTCGTGTACGTTGACGACTTGGTCTTTGCCATTGCTGACACTGTTGTATTCGCCGACGTGAAGTCCAAGCTACAGAAGAGACACCCGTGCACAGATCTGGGTGAACTGCGCAACTACCTTGGCTTGCAGATCACCCGAGACAGAGCAGAGCGCACCATTACCCTAACTCAGTCACACATGGTGCAGCAGGTCCTTCAGCGCTTCAGCTTCACGTACTCCTCGCCTCAGGCCACTCCTCTGTCTACTCGCCACTCGCTCTTAGCTCTGCCTTCGGATGAGTTCGTAGAGCCGAGTGGCCCATACCTAGAGCTTGTTCGCTGCCTCATGTACCTGATGACCTGCACACGACCTGACCTTGCATACCCTCTTAGCATCTTGGCATGCTATATGGCTCCTCGGAGACACCGACCAGAGCACATGGCTGCAGCAAAGAGGGTGTTGCGCTACTTGTGCAGTACGTCGGGCATGGGGCTAGTGCTTGGAGAGCGACGTCGAGTGGTCCTCACAGGTCACGCAGACGCTTCTTGAGCTGACGATCAGGCTTTGCAGCAGTCGTCACAGGGTTACACCTTCAGCCTTGGCTCCGGCTCTTTTTGTGTCGGTCTACCCGCTCGTCTTCTGTTCTCAGCTCCAGCTGTGAGGCTGAGATCTACGCAGGGGCCATGGCTGCATAGGAGCTTAGCAGGCTCACCTACCTGCTGACTGACCTAGGAGAGCCGCCTCGTTCTCCTCCAGTTCTGTACGTAGACAACAAGGCTATGCTGGCCTTGTGTTGGGAGCACAGACTGGAGCACACAATGAAGCACATTGCTCTCCGCTACTTCCTGGCTTTTGAGCTGCAGCAGCGTGGTCAGCTCTGCCTTACCTACGTGGCCTCTGAGGCCAACAGTGCTGATATCTTCACCAAGGCCCTTTCGCCTTGTGATGATCAGCGCTTCTGTACTTTGCTAGGTCTTGTGCCTACTTGGCCTCACTTGCTCACTTCTTGATCTTGTTTGTATTGGACTCTTTCTATACCTGCACTTACTTGTTTACTTTTATATATATGATCTTGCATGTGAACTGGCCTTGTGGCCTTACTCTTGTGCTCGGACTGTGTGGTGACTTTGTGATCCACCCTGAGCTTGCTTTGCTTTGCTTGACTGGTCTTGTGACCACTTGTTCTCCCCCAATTTGCCTATGGGGGTGTGTCAGAACATTATAGCTTATACATTTGTGTAGGCTGTAGCGGGGTAGCCCATAAGGGGTACAACCCAATTAGGGTTAGTACTTGTACCCAACTCTTTGATAGTTCAATGATTCTCTCGTTCTAATCTTCACATGGGCGCGGTCGCAGGCGATTCGACTCCTGACCGGACACATGTGGCATGATTGCTACAAATTATCTGATTGATGGACTCTTGCTCATGACCAAGAGGGTCGAGAAGTAGGAGGGAGAGGAAGGGGCCGTGGATGTTGTCGTGGACGCGGAGGTGGAGGTATAAACATGAAGAATGGAGATAACGATAATGACTCAAGCGACGATATGTTCCGGATATTTTTTTTTCGTATCTATGCAAGCACCAGATGGACCAGAGAAAATGGAAGACTTTGAGAAACCACCTGCTGTAGGAATAGTCACCCTATTCTCTCCAGACGATTGGGTGTTTGATTGTGGTGCTACCTATATCATGACATCTCGCACGGACTTCCTTACCGAACCTGAACCGTCACTGGTGAAGCATTTTTCTTTGGATTTGTGGCAGTGA